ATGTTTATTATTTCGCATGGATAATTATCGCCAACACCAGCACCAACACCACCATTATCATCTTCTTCATAATATTGGTACTCCGCATATTTATTTTTATTATTTTTCATTATTTTATTTTTAAATTTTTTTGTACCACAAAAAACAATAATAATAATTAGTATTAGTCGACTAAAATAGTCGACTAAATAAACAACTAAAGTAGTCGACTATTAGTTGTTTAAAAAAAAAGTTAGTCGACTAAATTAGTCTATCTAGGTGGGTGTTTGAATACAAAATTCTGATTGGCTAATTTGAATTTCACACGCGTGAATTTCAAATTGACGCAGTTCTAAAGAAATTATTAAAAAATTAAATTAATAGTAATAGTATTATTAAAATCATCCATTCCGGCCTGCCTTGACAAAAAACTTATAATCAACCACAGACCACTCTAACATTTCAAGTGTGACAAGCATGCTGAGAAACCTCAATAGAAATTTCTTCATAGTTTTCGAGCTATTATTTCAAGTTATTTCTTCATAGTTTTCGAGCTATTATTTCAAGTTATTACTTCTGTCATCAACCTGAGTTTTATTATCATCATAATCAGAAATTATTGATCCATATCCTTATTTATATCTGGACTCGGAGATTGTTTGTGTCAATAGAGCTTTTTTCCAGCTTTGTAGCAAATATAATGAATAAAGTTATACTTGCCGCCCAAAGTATAGTCCAACCCTCAGAAATATACTAATACCGTGAACATTGAAACTAGTACAAATTTAGTGATTGTCACCGAATTCATGGGATTTTGGATTTGGACGTCAAGTATAAGTGCAGTACACCAGAAAAGCTTCTCAAAATAACAATTTCAGCGTGCAAACATGTAATGGTAACTGATGGTATGATATCCCCCTAGAGTTTCCTGAAGCCTAAACAATCATTTATCAAGTCATTCCTGCCGCAAGTTGACAGTAATTGATGACATGCTATCCTATTTTCATCATTATTATTATGAAAAATGCTTTAATACATGTACTTGAAAACTTACCAAAATCCAATATCTACTCTATAACTGAATTTTTCATCAAAGATTTCTTGCATGATTACTTTACGATAATTAAAAAAATCTAATAGTGACGGATTATCAATCTGGTACCAGTATTCTAAAAAGAATCAGATGGAAACTCGATGATCAGTTGTTTCTCGAAGCAAAGTAGAGAACATTTACATAGATTTTATAAACAAAATGTAAGTATATACGAAGCTTAGAATGTGATTTGTAACCGAATCACACAAAAAAAATCAAATACAGTTGTTACATTTGGAGATGGGCAGTTTTCCAAGTCTCCTATCAAACAACCATTTGTGAAATTAAAAAAAGGTGTCGTGTATGGCTGTAACTGAGTTCTATACCAGCCAAATTTGTTCTTTATATTGAGAGAGAAAATTTGATACAAGACAACGATTCTGGTCTGTCCGAATTTGTAAAAACGACAATGTCAAGTAAGGATAATTAACAATATGATACATTAAATTTTTATTGGTAAGCTAAATATTTATAGATGCATCGGGATCGTGACATCATTGCCTCTAAGACAAATTTTTTTGGATATTAAAAGAAACTGGTGACCACCATTTAAAAAAAAGGAACTAAATTTTCAAGTTGTTTTACAACTATAACGATCAAGCTAGGCTCAGTCCTTCGGAGCAACTTATTATAAGCTACTATCTATAATTTTCAGGATCCTTTGGGATGAATTAAAATAAAATTTCCAAATCCCAATAGTCATCTGTTAATATTAACTCGAATCCAGTTTTTAGAAAGTTGTCCTTTCTATTGATCATTTGAACAAAAAGTAATTTCAAAATCGTAATTAAATTAAGATTTATTAATTAATATATTTGTATATGTATGTATATATATATATAAAATAATATTTTACATATTGTTAATAAATAAGTGATAACTAAATTAATATCCCTCTAAGATTTAATATATGTATGTTTATTTTTTACATTGCATAATAATATTCATTTCCATCTTGAGCTTGATTATTACTTTCCTCCCATTGCCGCCTCTGCTGTTGCTGCTGCTGCTGCTGCTGCTGCTGCTGCTGCTGCTGCTGCTGCTGCTGTTGTTGTTGTTGTTGCCGCTGCAGCTGCTGTTGTTGTTGCTGCTGCAGCTGTTGCTGTTGTTGTTGCCGCTGCTGTAATTGTAGCTGCTGCTGCTGTCGCTGTTGTTGCTGGTTATAATGATGATAATGATAAGGTTCTTCTCCACTTCCATTTCTATTTAAGTTAACTGAAGATGCTGTGTTAACTGCTGCATCTTCATTGATTTTACTAGTGCCGCTTTTCCCTGTATAAGTGGTATTTTGAACTTCAAATTGATTTTTCATTGACGATAAATTATTATTTGGCATGGTTGAAGAATTGAATTCATCTCGTTGTCTTTGTAAAACCAACATGCGTTCCTGTTGTGTAGATTTTCTTGGTTCTGGCTCTTCATTATCACTGGATTTTTTAATAACTCGATTTTCATCACCAGATGATGATGATCCAATATAATTACCATTATTAACAACATTATTATTAGGCAATGGATATTCGTTGTCATCATTAATAACTGAATTGTCATTCATAAAATAATATGAGGGAATACTTCTTGGATCAGCTTTCTCCACTGCTACAAATTCTAATCCACCCACTTTACCTAATGGTTTAGTTTCGGTGTAAATAACTTTACCATCTTTTGATATTGACACATTACGTTTTAATGATGAAGATGGTTGGTTATTGTTATTGATGGTGGTGGCGGTGGTAGCGATGGCGGAGGTGGTGGTGGTGGTAATATTGTTATTTTGTGATATTGGTATTGTTGATTGTATTTGATTATAATTACGTTGATTTTGTAGCGTTTGTTGCTGTTGTGGCTGCTTTTTTAATTGTTGTAGTTGTTGTTGTTGACCTTGGTGATCATAATTTCCATATCCAGGACTGTTATTGTAATTGCGATTTAAATTTTTATTGCCAAGATTATTATATTCATTATTATTATTATTATTATTATTATTATTATTATTATTATTATTATTATTATCATTATTATTATTATTATTATTAAAGGTTGGAGAGAGAGGATATCCAGTCCCACTACCAGGTGGCATATTAGATAATTTAGCAGAATTAGTGGCCGCAGAACCTAAATTTGTGTTGAATGAACTACCTCCTGAACCAGTACCAACAAACCCTTTACGTGGATAAAATATTAATATTAATATTACCCATTCTATTACTGCTGCAAAATTTACATGTGCTATTAAAACATCACTAAATAATAGTAATAAAATTATTATCAATATTTACAATAACAACAAATTAATAAATATATAATGATAAACATAATAATAATCACCTTGCTAATTTGCTAGAATTAATGGGTCTAGAATCAATAAAAGTATCAATTGTTAATATGAAAAAACTAGCACTCATTATGAATAAACTTCCAGTCAATAATTTATTCATATCGATGAAATATCTGATTTTTGCAATGATATGAGCTTTATTTTTGTTGTTTATATTAACTGTATTAATTAATTTTTGAAACCTCAAATGTGTAATTATTCCAAGTATCGCTAAAATCATTAACTGTGAAGCATAAGCCAATTGTGGAACAACCTCTATTAGTGATTCATATTGACTTAATATAGCTGGCAATATAGGAAACATGATTACTGAGATAACTCCCCAAATTATATAAATACTGAATTCAATTCTTGACATAAATGAAACCTTTGCAATTGAATTCGAAAGATAATTCCAGAAACATTGTAAAAGAAATAATGTTCCACTAAAAGTATAAATTGAATACATGTGTTAATATTGGATTATTTATGTTATTAAATAATGTAAAAACATACGTTTGGAAGCTAAATCCAACCATCAATGTATAGAAAGTAGGAGTCCACCATGATTGATCTTCTTCTGACCATAACCATCTTGGTTTAGACCTTATTGAGAAGGTCGGAACAAATAAATAAAATCCTTCGGTATATTTTATTTTGGTCTAACAATTCCATTTTAATAAATAAATGTTAACATTACGAAATATAATATAAGATGACTTATTTATAAATAAATTATATTCACCAAAATAATGTCATAAAATGCTTCAAATGGTAATGTTAGCAATATTAAAATCGTGACAAACGATTTTAATTCTAGTGCTCTTATTCTCTTCCATTGAAGGGATGAAAATTTATCACACTATATGATTAAAGTTTAGTTGTTAGATAAAAAATAAAAAATAAATTTGAAATAAATAAAATATTTTAAAATTACCCGATAAACATGGATTATAAACCATATCCATATGTAGACTTCATGTACAGATCTTTCTACAATTTTTCAAAAACATTAATTAAAATTACTATTAGCATTAAAAAATATCCGTTATGATTGCTGAATTATGTATGTAACGAGAAAATAAAAAAAATTTACCAAGGAAAGAGTAATCGCTTGAAGCCATCATTTTATGTTCTTTAGAAGTATCCATATTTACAAATATTTTAATTCAAAGAACATCCAGATGTTTTTATTACTTTCTAATTCAAATATTATGTATTTATGTATGTATGTATGTATATCTGAAAGGTTTAATATATAAAAAAAAAAATAAAGATAATAGTAATATTCTTGCTGGCCAAAACAAAATTTATTTTGGAAAATTCATAATAACCTAATTTATATAAAATTTCGGATTTTTCTTGATGGACAAAATAGTTCAAAAATTCATTTTATTGTACGTTGTATAAAATCTAATGCTAAATCTGTAAAATTGCATACGAATTTTACACCTATAGCCGATTTTGTAATTATTAACAGTTTCATTCCATGTACATATATGGTTAATTCGTGTAATAATCCGCTTTTTTATAACAATAAATTCATTATCAAACCATTTAAGCTTCACAATGAATATATTTTTTTTAGTCCACTAAGTATTCAAAACAGCATTACATCATAAAATTCTTATGGGGGGGTTATGTGTTGAAGTTCAGTGGACTGTATTATTTCCAAAAATATAATCAAATGAATTTAATGAATTTAGTAATTTGATAATAATAGTTTGATCTACGTGACATGTCACTAAATATAGTGCAACCAGTTCTATTGGCCAAATTTTCCTGCGTTTCATTATTTACCCTTAATATTAATATAATAGTATTGGTATAATATCACTCCAACGATCTTCACTCTATAACGAACTGAGAATTAAAGCCGCTATTTAAAAATCTTACTCTGTAATATTAATATTAATATTAATTTATCCCCCCCCACTTCATGGGGGATAACTATTATATATTTTACGGCCGACAATCATATATCACATGATTTTAAACCCTTAAAAAACTTGCGACAAAGATAAAAAAAAAACTATTATTATTATTATTAAATAATAATAATAATAATAAGAAAAAATCTCTCGATGTGTTTATATTAAGTGAGAGGTTATCATTACTATTTTTAGTAAGGTATATGGTTTAATTAAATTATTATTTGTATCTGTAACCATCGAAGAAGCTTATATTGTAAACAATACATTTATATTTCATTACCTCATTTATATATATATCATCAACTATATCATTCATTAATTAAAAGAAAAATTGATTTTGATTCACATCAACAACCAACATTAGATAGCTCTCTTAATATTGAATAAGTGTATTGAACGAGTAAATGTATTAGAATTAGCGAATAATAATAATCATGGCTTTATTTTAAGTAAATTTTCATTATATAATAATAACATTATAACGGCCTCTCTATAACAGACTTTTTTTGCTGAAACGGAAGGACCCGTTATAGAGAGTGAATTGTACGCCAAGTGACACAAGAGGACGTGAAGAATTTCAACTTGACTTTTAAATAATCGTTTGGTAGAATAAATACCATTTTGGTAAGCTAATAATGGTTGATGGTTTGACTCGAGGAAATGTGGGAATTTTCAGGTAGCGGGTCAAAAATATCGGTGAATGCTCGAAGTTTCTGGAAAAAAGAATTTACGTTTTCTTAACAATTTTGGCTTTAGGTCTTCTTCTCGAATTTTTTAAAAAAAAGTCTTTCAATAAAGAAAAGAATAATGATGTTCCAAGTATCTACTCTGTGTAAAATTCATAGTAGCTACGTATCGATGATGATATTGTACAGAAGAAATTTCTACTCGCTTCCAATCAAGAAACTGATAATAAAATACATTTAGTAGATATAAAACAGTTTTTATCAGTTGTATTTCCTTTGTAATGTTCTCCTGTAATAGTGAATATACACTCAGAGATTTGGAAAGAGAAATATGTGTTATCAAACTGACTTATTCACTCGATTATCTTTGAGCCAAGGTTATTTGCGAGGAGCAAGTTGATTTTAAACACCTTCCCGAGAGGAAAAGTGAAGTATTAGAATAATAGTTATTATTATAATTCAAAGAATGTGAACTTTTGGCCTTCACTGCGCTATCTATGAGCGACTAGAGCTGCAGGCATAATTTTAAGTTTAAAGAGCCGATTTATATTTGATGCTTTCTTTATGGGTGGATATAGTCAGTATATACCTATAAAAAGTTTTCTATTAAATTTATTTGCTAGCGATATAAAATAAAACATCACATGATAGTTAGATAATACCAAAATATCGATATTGATCGTGTTGTGCAACAGTTGAATTTTGTAAATATTCATTTTATCAATTTTTTAAAATTTATTTCAAAAATGCCAGCACAACCACAAACACAAGTTCCAAACACCATGGATGATGTATTAAAATATATCTCAACTGTTACTGCAGAACATGATAATTTCGAAACTATCAGCAAAAGAATTGCTCCAACCTTAAAAGAAGTTCAACCACAAGTTTTTGCACAATCTACTTCAGACGATAGAGATCCTCTTGATCTTTTGGATCCTAGTACTTCCAGTTTAGTTTACGCATATCTTCTGTAAGTTAACAAAAAAATTAGACTGTTTATAATAAATTTATAATTGAATAAATTTATAAATTATTTTATTTTTTAAAAAATTGAATTTATTAGAGCTGCACGATTTCATGTTGAAAGTTCAAATTCCACACGTTTAATACAATATATTATTCAATACTTGTCCGTATTTGATGCTAATCAAGTTCGATTGGTACCAGATAAATGTACACATCTTCATAACTAGATAACTATCTGTCAATTTCATCATCTTCATCATCTTCATCAATTAATTATACATTATCATAGTTCGCCAGGTTATACAAGGACTTACTAGATTAGCAGCGACGCGCCAAAAAGTAAGGAGTTAACAATAATAATAATAATAATAATAATAATAATATAATCTATAATAATATTATTATAACATCAAAAATGAATGAGCGAATGAATGAATTGTTTTAGATCTATTGATTATTATTATTTGCGTAAATCAAAATACTTTTTAAGAATCTCATAACCATTAAACCTATTGCGAATGCACTTTTAAGATATGCTCCGAGTCCCCAACATTTGACAAACGTTCATCAAATTTTTATCAAGGTATCAATGAGATTAAAGCTTTTTTTTTATATCCTAAATTTTATTAATTAATTAAATGGTATTAATTGATTAAATTGTATTAATCATGATTACAATATGAAGGAATGTCTGCTTTCTAAATGTTATAAGCAAGCTCTTCAAATTTTAGATACTGATATTACAGAAATAGAATTAGTGGTAAAGTTGATTTTTTCAATTTTATGTTTTATTTGAATTTTATTTTTATTTTTTATTTGCTAATAATATTTAATTAGGGAACTGGTATAACTTATCAAGACCATTTGCTTTATCATTATTATGGTGCAATGGTGTATATAGGTTTAAAGAAATATGAACGTGCTTATTATTTCTTAAAATTGGTAATTATATCCAATTTTTTGAAAGCAAAAAATTTATATACGAAAGAATTAAATTAATCAATGAATTATTATAGGTAATTTCTGCACCTGCAAATATAGCCAGTCAAATTCAACTAGAAGCTTATAAAAAATTTGTTTTGATTTCACTATTGTTGCGTGGAAGAGTAAGATTTTTATTTAAATATACTTACTTCTAAAGGATATATATTATTATAATAATCACACCTATTAATGATTAACCAAATATTATTTAAAGATTGGACCACTTCCAAAATATACAGCCTCAATAGTTTTTCGTTCAATTAAAAATCAATGTCAACCATATCAAGATTACGCATCAGCATTTGAATCTTTAAGTGTGAAAAGATTACGTAATGAATTCAATCAGTCCATAGACATTTTCAAAAAAGTAAATTTTTTTTCAAAAAAAAAAATATACAACTATTAAGAGATTTTTTAAATAAATAAATATAAATATATATATATATTTTAAAAAAATATTTATTTAGGATAATAATTTGGGATTAGCCAAACAAACATTAGACGCAATTTATAAACGAAATATCCAACAATTAACGCAAACGTATTTAACATTGTCTTTGGCTGACATTGCTGATACTGTTGGTTTGGAAGGCCCAGATGCACATAAAATTGCTGAGAGTTATGTTTTACAAATGGTGAGTTGAGCTATTTTATTTTCATATATAAATAATTCATTCATATAATATTTTTTTTATTTATATTTACTTATTTTTTAATTAGATTGAATCTCAACAAATATTTGCAACTATTAGTCATTCTGATCAAAATGGTATGGTGTCATTCCATGATAATCCAGATCGTTACAATACTACAAATACAATCATTAAACTTGAAGAAGAAATCGCTAAAGCTACTAGCGTTAATGAACATGTCATTAGAACAGATAAATATGTTGGTCGTACCAAGGAATATCTCTCAAAGGTCAGATGTCGTTAGTAATAATCATAATAATAAGGTTGTATTATTACTATTATTGATATTTATTTAATTTTTTGCAGAGTCAAAATTTACTTGCAAGTGGTATAATTCCTGGTGGATTGGGTCCTGGTGATGATCCGGAATTTTTGATTGGAGGTGGATTCGATAATTTTATTGATGATGGAAAGTACATGTGATAAAAAATCATTATACAGCTATAAATAAAGATTTTAAAATATACATGTAGTTAACATTTAAAATAATGCAATAAAATCGGTGTGATCAAAAATGCCAATCTAATAATATCTACGAATTTAATCGCGTTTTATATAAAAATATCTAATTGCAGTGCACCCTCAAAAATTTTTTGATTTTACTTGTAATAATAATAAAAAAAAAGAAAAACTTCAAATTTTTTAATACACACTAACTTTCTTGTGCTTGATTAAATATAAATGGTTTGGAGAGTTTTCTTGCATGATCCATGTGATCGTGATGTTTTTTAATTAATCGTTGGTTATCTTTCTTAAATATTTTATTTCACGATCCTTACATGATCCATGTGATCTTGATGTTTTATGTTGTGAATAAATAAACAAGCAAAATTAAAATTAGTGTGAAAAAATTAATTTTAATTTATACTATAATAATAATGTGTACATATTTTTACTGGTTATATAAAAAAAAACTCGGACAGATATTTCGATCTTTTTGACCCGTTATAAAACTAGGCTAACTTGTAAATCACAATTAATGTTAATGTTTTTATAAACTCGATAAATGGCCGACATATGTGTATGTCAAAAGATGATAAATTCGTTGTGATGATCATGTTATTTTCGCTTTAAACATAGTTCGCGTTTTTGTTCAACAGTATATATATATATATATATATGTTTTTTAATTGTTATCGTGCAGAATTTAAGAAAATTTTTAATTGTAAGAAAATTATTGTTGTTCGCATTCATCATTTGGAAATTCGGGATTAAATGTTCTTTAATAGCATTTTTTTTTCCATGTAATGTTATTTTTTATTGATTATTTTGAATGATTAATTAATTACATATTAAAAATACAATAAACAATTTAAATAGTATCTAATTAAATTAGATCGTTTGGGCCGACAGATCACCGTTTTTCTTTTCGTACGGCCGTCAGTTCCTGAGAATAGCATTTAATAGTTATAGCAACACTTCAATAAGAAAATTATAGTGAATCGTCACAAAAGACATCCACAACACCCCAAATCTATTATTGATAATTATCTTTGCTTTTTGGAAATTTGGAATTTTTAAATTTATATATCACACGAATTCGTTGTAACGCGAACGCGATTAGTACTTCTGATGGGTGTGTAGATACGAAATTTATTCTAAAGAAGTATTCGGGTTGCTAATACTTTCTTTTGGCTAAAAGATAAAAAACCAGATCGATTGACATAATTTCAAAATAGTCTCATATGATACTTTCTCTAGAGGGAATAGATATGTGTGATTTAAATGAACCCTCGTTTCAAACTCTGTGGTTCAATTATGATCATTGAGTATATGCTCTTCTTATACATTAATTAATAATTTTTATTTTCGACATTTCTCAAAGACCTTTGATGAATTTATGCTAAAATTATTTTGGGTTTATATCACATTGTTGTATTTAAGGGAGAGAATAAAAATGAGGTCTTGAGGGTTTCATTTTGCATGATCTTAATTATATTAATTATTATTTTTTATCTTTTCCTTAAGAGAAAATTAATACTTCAAAAGATCAACAATCCCGATGGTTTCCATATTAGGGAATAGGTACGTATAATTTAAATACTATAAATTCATTTCATCCTAAACCGTTGAAGTATGATACGAGGCTATACATTCTTTTACATTTACCTTCAACATTTATCAAAGAAACAAACACGAAAAACTATAACGGATCAACAAAAGATGCCTGAAACCTTTGACATTCCTCAAAGGCCTTTGATGAATTTATATTGAAATTACTTGAGTTCATTCACTCACATTATCATTTTTCCATAAAATAGGTTAATTTGACTCCGCTTTGCAAAGTATATGATGCAATGGGAGATTTGGAGTGTGCGAGATAGGGTGGTTGTGGATTTCACCAAAGTCGCATTGTGGTTCTTTGTTTTTCAAAGAGTCATTTAAAGCCTTTTAACGATGTTCGTAGAACCCTGTATAGTTATTAAAATGATAATTACATTTAATATGACACACTATATTAGATTTACAAGAAATTAGTTTTTAAAAATACAATTGTTTGCATGACTTTAGTATTGTCCTTTCTTTAAGGGATAATTAACACATGAGTGATACAATCCATTTATCATTAATCCTTTATGAATAATGATAAGATCAAATATATCATAATGGATATAATACAATATATTGAGACAAAGGTATGTCACATACAAGGAAAGGATCAATGTTTTTTATTTTGATTCAGCTAATAGAAAGATACATGATAATTTATATATGTATTTTAAAAACAAGAGATAAAAATCACCAATGTGAGGATTATCTATCTATTCATTGGTCACTCTGGCAGAAGTCACTATACTATTTTTTATTATCATTACCATCACCTACTTCTTTCTATGATTTATTTTTCATTGGTAAAAGTTTTTTATAGTGGAAGCAGCAACTCTCTTTGTCCCTCTACAAGTAATTTATTATTATGAGTTTCAGTTACCATATATTAAATGAAAATATGTCTTATCAGCATCATCTGTCTGAGTAGTACTAGCGAGTCTGATTGTTTAAGCTGTCAATTATTTCATCACTTTTTTGGTTTATGTTATAAGGTAGTTTTGTAGGATATATAATGAAGTAAGAAGCCAAAGAAAATTCCAATAAAAGCAAGCATTTTTGTTACTTTATATAATAAAACAAAAATTGTGTTCAACAATAATTATCGAAAGATTTTTTTTTTATCTACAACAGGCTCCTGTGTTTATCAAACGGCTAATGCAAAAAATTTAATAATACATTTGTCCTTGAATGTGGGCATTAATTTAATCATATGTTCATTTTTGTCTGGTCTTGTTGTAGCATGCTCCATATATAAAACCAAACATTGTTAATAGAGGATAGAAGTGATAGAAGACATTTAATTTGACACGCAAATTTTTTACACCAAGTGCTTGAAAAAGATGGCTGCTAGAAAAGTCAATTCCTACAGGCGTTCCAAGATGCCCTTAGGTCATTTAAAAGATGCAGGTGTAAACCATAATTTATTTCCAGAAACAAATTAGTCTATGGCAATTCTTTTCATCGTAGGGAACTCTCAAGTATAAATAGATTCATACAAATATGAATATAATAAAATGCTATAATAATTATTGTTATAAATAAATATAATAATACATTTACATATATGATAATAGAAGAAAATTAAAGTTGTCTTAGCATTCCTAAATTTGTTTTTTTAAAAAAAAAATAATTAATTAATTATCAGAAATATGTATACATATACACCCTCCCCATAAAAAAAAGAATGGTTTACACACGTAAACGTTCAGACAATTCTTCGTTTTCCTTACTATTACTATTTTTATCAAGAATACTGCTAATTGGAGCAGCCTCGCCTAGTTGTTGACTTAACTCTAATCCATGTTCATCAGCCACTTGTTGCATTAACAAATCAACATCTTCTTGTGGAGTACTCACCGCGGTTGAGTTTCCCATTGATCCCTCCATATATTGTGATTGAACATCTAAATCTTCAAATTGTGATTCAAATTTATCCATTACCATTGATATCTATTATATTTTATGATTTTTTTAATATGTTTTTTTTTTGGCAATCAACTATAAATAAATGATTTAACTGATTAATCAAATACTTTTTCTAAATTCATAGATTCCATTGCCTTATCCATTCCTTTAACAACACTTGCCATTGATCCCGTAATCTACAAATTTATATTATTTGTTGTTTAAAAAAAAACAATTATAAATAAATGAATGTAATGGCTTTGGTGATTTTTTGTTGAAGTTTCACACTTTACCTTTTGCATAGTGACAGCAGTTTGTACTCGACTTGAAACTGCGTCAATTCTAGAAGATAGTCTTAACAAATTTATTGATTCATTCTTTTTATGAATAGCACCGGCAGCATAAATTCTTGCACCTTCCATGTTTCCTTGTTGAATTGCCTTTATTGATTTTTAATAATAAATCTTATTTTAAAAGAATTGCATTCAATGACTTCTTTTTTAAAATAAAAAAAACCTTTTTTAATTTTGCTTTTTCAGTAACTTCATCTTTACTCGCTTTTTTAGCTTGCCTAGCTAATTGCTTTGCCGTGAACTAAAAAAAACAAGTAACAAACAATAAAAATACTGTTATTAATACAATTATTATCAATTCTTTAAAACAATAGGTTTTTTTCTACATTTCCTTCCTTACTTATATACATTCTTACTTTAAGTTGAAATAAACTTTTGTCCAAATTTGTACTCATGTTTGATCCAAATAGGGATTCTCTAGCAAAAGGCAGTCAGTATAAAATTACAGTCTGGGATTATATATACCATAAATGGATGTGTGGTGATTCCGCCCTTATATAGTACAGTGCGGATCATCTATACTCAAAAGTTAAAAATTTTTGAAATATTATGTGATCCACACATTAGATTTTAAAAAACTTACCACCATTCAATTCAGCTTTAAAAGGG